TAAAAATATTAAATTGATAAATATTCAAAGCTTTCATATCTTTAAGAAGTGGCGCAGAGTGTGTAAAACGATTTCTAAAATTAATTGAACAAGCTGCATGTTTCTGATGATTATAAAGAGTTTTAAGTTTTATCTTTTGAGTGCTTCTCTATATAATATTTGCATAGTTTATATGACAATGGACAAATGAATAGTACAATTAAGTTAACTGCTGTTTATTTAGTATGTTTCTAGCTTTATAAAGAATACTGATGCATTTGGAAACTCTAGAAGAGATAATGTTAATGTATATATATATATATATATATATATATATATATATATATATATATATATATATATATATATATATATATATATATATATGTATATATATATTTATGGACAAACTCTTGTACGATTTTTTTTATGACCTAAAACAACAATTTTATATATTTCTTATGCCTCTAATAGCACTTATTATATATATATATATATATATATATATATATATATATATATATATATATATATATATATATATATATATATATATATATATATATATATATATATATATATACTCTTGTGAAAAAGAGTTTCCCATAAACTGTAGTTTTAGACCAGAACCAGTTTAAAAAATTTTTAAATGATAGACTGCCTGCCCAAACCAAACCCTCAGTCGATGTAGCAGCACTCCCTTGCGAGTCAGGCTATTTGTCAGTCGTTGTAGCAGCACTCCCTTGCGAGTCAGGCTATTTGTCAGTCGATGTAGCAGCACTCCCTTGCAAGTCAGGCTATTTGTCAGTCGATGTAGCAGCACTCCCTTGCGAGTCAGGCTATTTGTCAGTCGATGTAGCAGCACTCCGTTGCGAGTCAGGCTATTTGTCAGTCGATATAGCAGCACTCCGTTTCGAGTCAGGCTATAAGATAGTCAATGCATCAATATTTACGCATGTTTTAAAAATGTTTTTTAATAAAACAAAAACAAAAACACCACTAATAAAAAAAATTTTCTAGTTGTTATAATTGCGGTTTTTTTAAAAAACAATAAAATTTAATGTACTTCCACATAAATTTAATTGCTTTGACATTTCGACGACAATCAAAAACAGCTTAAGAGACGAGGTAATTAAAATTGTAGTCGAAAGAGACTTTTTTTTACATTAAATGACTCTTTCGACTACACTATAAGGATATATATATATATATATATATATATATATATATATATATATATATATATATATATATATATATATATATATATATATATATAACAAATAAAATACACGTTGTTATAATTCTTTTTATGGTACTAATAGTTTCATGCCCAAAGAAAATCGTCAGCCATGTAATACAAAAAGAAAAGTTAAAATATAAAGTTATAGTGGACTGTGCTCTATAGTCAAAACAAAAAACAAAAAGAAAAAAGAAAAATCCAAAAATGACTGTCTAGTTACCCAAATTGAATTTTAAAAGGAGAAATTTGCTTTTTTATGTCATTTTGGTATCTAAGTTTTATTTTATATCATTTGGTATCTAAATGTAGACATAAAAGTAAATTTCTGATTTCATAATTCGATTCGGGTGAATAAGCAGCCATTTTTGAATTTTTTAAATCTTTTCACTTTTTGTTTTGTTTTGACGACAGAACATAAATATATATATATATATATATATATATATATATAATATATATATATATATATATATATATATATATATATATATATATATATATATATTTATTTATTTATACATGCTTGGTCAGAAAGGCGTGCGATTTCAAGTCTTAATATGACCATGCAAATAATATTTTGTTTTGATGATTTAACCTGAGTTTTTAATAAATGCGTTAAAAAATTGGTTTTTAATTACGTTGAAAATAAGTAACTTCAACACGTTTATCTTTACTGACGTTTTTATGTTGAAATTGAATTGAAAGTTGTATAATTATTTATTTTTATTATTTAAATATATAAGATTTTTTTGTAAGTAAAAATAAAAAAAGTAAAAGTTTTTTAAAAAAATTTAATTTTATAAGCGACAACTTAAAAAACCGAGTTTTTTTTTAATAAACTTTATATGAGAATTGTTAAAGTTTTTGTTGAAAAGGAAAAAAAACGACAAACTTTTTTGAAAGCTGTTTGAATTAAATAACTTGAAATGCATTTAAATAAAATAACAAATTACTGCTAATGATTTTTTATAAAAACAATAATGAATAATATATTATTAATATTTATATAAGTATTTATTTTTTAACATAAATGTTTTTAAATAAAAAAAAGTTATATAAATTTTTTAAATAAATGATTTAACAGGCTTTTACAGGAAGGCGTGTGATTGCATGTCTTTATAAGACCTCGCAAAAATAATAAGTTTTAAAGCTTTTGACATATTTTCAAAACAGCTTTTGACATATTTTCAAAATTTAAAAATGTGCTACAAAAACTTAACTAAACTTATTTTAAAAAAAATCTTAGCCAAAGAGAAAATAAAAAAATATTTAGTTATAGCAAAAACAAAAAAAAAATATATATATATAACCCAATTAAAACAAAACTCATCAAACTAAAATGTTTAGTCCATTTAATTTATGCATTAAAAAACCATTTCAATCTTTGTTTTAACATTTTTACTTTTTTTTATTTAATGTTTCAAAAGATAAACATTTCTCATAATAAATACATAATTATATTATAAAAAAAAACAACAGTTTATCCATACTTATTATAAAAATTAATTAGAAGTGTTTTGTTACTTCATTGAAAAGTGTTTCAATAATATCAAAGCATTTAAGATCAAACTTATTTAATTGTAACGGCTTTCTAAAACTTTTTTTTTTCAACAAAATTTTGAAAACTTTTTTTTTTTCAATGAAATTTATCTTTTTAAATGTATTAACTTTAATTATTCTAATATTAAAATTCTTTAAAAAAAAAAAACCAAATCAGTAAATTGTTACTTTATTTAAAAGCGTTTCGCTTATATAAAAACATTTGTTAAGAAGTTTTGATGTATTCTACAAATAAAGTGCTTAATATGCTTAAAGAACATAGCAATAGTAGATTAGTAAAAATGCTTATAAAATTTTTGATTCAAGAAAAAAATTATATATATATATATATATATATATATATATATATATATATATATATATATATATATATATATATATATATATATATATATATATATAAATATATATATATATTCTTGCTTGGTCATCTTTAATTTTCACCATAAAGTGTCATCTTTATTTTTTAAAAAAGAAATAAGTTTAAAAGACCAAAAAAACTTTTTCAGTTAATAGATTGCTTACCTAAACCATAACTCTCAGTTGATGTTGCAATACTTACATGTTTGCCTAATTGTCAGTCAATGTAGTAGCACTCCTTGCATATTTTACCCATTTGTTAGTTAATGTAGCAACACTCATTGCTCTACCTATTTGTCAGTCAATCTATGTAAACAGTAAAAAAATAAAAATACATTATTTAGAATAATTTTATTTTTACTTGAAAAATTTAAAAATAAATTTAATTAGTTTTGTCTATTGAACTTAAAGGGTTTTTTCGACAGGACCTTTTTTGACAAGACCTTTTTCAACAATGTTGGACGTAATTGGGCAGTATTTTGGAGACCCCCAAAATTATGTGTATTATAAATACGCTCTAATTCGTACCTATAAATATGTACATACAGCAATGTTACCGCCAAATTTCATTACAACAGGTGCCAGCCTGTGGAGTATTGCTGTCTTAGTTATTTTCCTAGAATAGCCCCCATATATATATATATATATATATATATATATATATATATATATATATATATATATATATATATATATATATATATATATATATATATATATATATATATATATATATATATATATATATATTTATATGTATATATATATACACATATATAGTATTTTTAGGGGTATATATATATATATATATATATATATATATATATATATATATATATATATATATATATATTTAGGGGTATATATTTATATATATATATATATATATATTTTACATATATTTATATTATATATATATATATATATATATATATATATATATATATATACATATATATATATATATATATATATATATATATATATATATATATATATATATATGTATATATATATATATATATATATATATATATATATATATATATATATATATATATGTATATATATTTAGGGGTATATATATTATATATATATATTTATATATATATATATATTACATATATTTATATTATATATATATATATACATATATATATATATATATATATATATATATATATATATATATATATATATATATATATGTATATATATATATATATATATATATATATATATATATATATATATATATATATATATATATATATATATATATATGTATATATATATATATATATATATATATATATATATATATATATATATATATATATATATATATATATATATATATATAGTAATAATAATAATAAAAATGATGATAATAATAGGAATAATTGTCCATAAAGTATGTACGCTCAGAGAGGAAGAGGGGTCTGCAAATGGGGTTTTCAAGATAAGGGGGCAGTAGGTCAATTATGAAAGCATGGAGACACTAAATTAAAAAAGTATCGTAAAATGTTGGGTTGGTAAGTTAAAAGCATATGTACTTTTAGGGAGGTAGAGGGTATTCAAAAAAGCATATAGTAAAATGTGGGGAGGGGAGTTGGCAAAAAAAACGTTCGTACTTTATGAATGACCCCTAATAGTAATAATAATATTAATTTAAGAGGTTATTAATTAATTTTTGTTATTTTCTTATTTATCTGAGATTTTTTTAAATTTTTTTACACATTTTAATAAAGATGGTAAAAATGATTTTACATAACTTATTGTCACATAAATAAAAAATAATTGTTGCGTAAATATTAAAGTAAGTTGAATTGTATTTAAAGTTGTTTTCTTTGCTTTTTTAGACTTTTTAAAAAGATATAATGGCGTTGCTGCATGTTTTTCTGGTGGATACTGGTTTAATGATGAAATTAGATATGCAGCTTGCTGCTGAAAAGTAAGTATATGACTAATAAAAGATTTTTCATTTGTTTTAATATAATTATAATATTGTTGTGTAAAAGTTTATATATTTAATATTGATTGTTGTTAATTGAATAATTTTTTCTGCATGATTAATTAAGGAAACAAAAGAACAAAGTAAATACATTAAAGAAAAATATTTGATTTTTTTAATTAATTTTAGCTTTATGAATCATAGGCAATCTGTCTCCACTGCAAATGAGGAGCCTTATCTGCCTCATGAATGATCTCAGAACAAAGTACCTGAACAGTTTTTGAATTTCAATTGAGTTGAAGTTCAGCATTAAAATTAAATTATTTTAAGCATACACTATGCATGTTGTACTAGTTTACTTTTAAATAAAGTTCCATTTGAACAGTCTTCAAAGTTTAATTGGAGGCATTTGAACAGGCTTGGACAGGAATGGCGTGCGATCGAGCGCTATTGCTGACCACGCAAATGATTTTATTTTTTGACAACTTAACCATGATTGCTTATATGTTTTGATAGAAAAAAAGTTAAAAAAAAAATCTAACGAAGAAAAAAAATTCTAACCAAAAAAGAAACAAAAAAAAATTCTTTATGAAAAAGAAATTTTAAAAGCACTAAAATAAAAATAAAAACTTTAACTCGAAGTGAAACTTTTTGTTACGTTTTTTAATCACGTTTGAAATAAATCTTTTTAAACGTTTTATTAAAGTTAAGCAAAACGCTTTTAAATTAAGTAACAAATTACTTCATTATAATTATATAATCATTATAATGATTGTTTAATAAATGAACAAATTTTATCAAATTTATTAAAAAATGTTGTTTTTAATATTTTTAAATTGTATAAACATTTATTTTTTTTAAAAAGTTAAATTTTTTTTTTTTTTTTTTTAAATAACGTAGTCTTTTTAAAATAGTATTTATTTCATGCTCTAATTAATGTCTAGTTAGAAAAAAGACTTCTAACTCTTTTATTCCTAAAAAAAGGAAAAAAAATAAATAAAAATTTGCCTGCAATTTATATAAAATAAACTGCCAACAAGCAATTTAATTTTAATTTGAGCATTACAATTTATATTAATAAGCGCTTCACATAGCGAATTTAAAAATTATTATACATGATTTCAACTCATTCATTCTTATCGTAATTGAAAAAAAAAATTTTTTTTCAAAAAAAAATCTTTGTTTAAAAGATTAAAAAAATTCGTAAGTTTAATTATAAAAATTAATTGCGTTAACATTACAAAAAGCTAAAAAACTTTTCCATTAATCAACAAAATACATTCTTAAATAAGTATATAAAGTTATTTTATATTCTTGTATAATTCACATAAAATGTGTAAAAGCTAGTAGTCGAAAAAGGTTTTAAACTTATTAATAAATTAAAAAAAAATTCTTCTAAAATAAATGCTTTAAAAGATGACATGGGAAAATAGTTTTAAACGTTTAAATTTATCACGAAAAATACATGCCTATATAAAAAATTTATATATAACATTTTTATAATTTACACACGCGTTTATGTAAACAATCATTAAAAAAATAATTATGTGGTTTACTTTGAAGCCTTCGCGTAAAATAAAAACTATAGATCAACGATTAAAAGTTAATTATAACGTAACACTTTTAATTTCATTTAAATTGTTAAAACATCAAAATAGCCTGTGGTCAAGTTGTAAAGAAAAAAAACTATTAGCGTGGTCAGTTACAGAGTGCAATTGCATGCCATTTCTGTCCAAGCCTGATTTGAACAGTGTTTAAAGTTTAATTGGAGGCATTTGAACAGTGTACAAAGTTTAATTGGATGCATTTAAATAGTGTACTAATTTTAATTGGAGGCATTTGAACAGTATTCAAAGTTTAATTGGAGGCATTTGAATAGTGTACAAAATTTAATTGGAGATATTCGAACACTGTACAAAAATGTTTATTTAATTACTGCATGAATGGCAGTACTTAAGTAAACCATATTACTTATGGAAGAACATAATCAACAAAAAGAATAATCCTTTTAACAAATATTAAGTATTTGTTGTTGTTAGAAAAGTTCATAGAACTTAATCTATAAAATTACAATAAGACAAGAAATTGTTAAATATTTATATATCATCTTAAACTTTATTTGATTATGAACATTTTAAGTAATTATTGAAATATATTAAAATATATTAAAATCCATGCTCTACTCTGAGTTTTAGCACAAGCCATAATCAATGAATTGGTGTAAGTTCATGGAGACCAAGCTCCAAAATATAGTACAGTTGCCAAATAAGCTACTTTATTTAAATATGGTAGAGAGAGTCTTAATGATGATTCTTGCACAAGGCACATTGAAACCATGTAAACAGCTGAGAATACTGAGCGTGTGCGAGCTAAGAAAAATTGATGCTCTAACATCGGTTAATTATTTTATTATATAACTAAATCATTCACAATGCTCTTAAAGAAAACAACTAACATCACGTTGGTTAACTGAGTTAACCAATTAAAATTGTAAGAATAAAATTTAGGCGTGTTAGGAAAATTTAGCTCATTTCAGAATTGGCCCATAGAGACTGTGTGGTATTATTACAGGGGATGAGGTTCTATTTGAGACACATTGAATACAAGTCAGCTAATACAAGTTGGATCAGTGAAGATGAAAGTCCAAAAACTATTGTAAGATGAAACAGAATTGAGCCAAAAGAAATGTCTACATCTTAAAAACAACAGGTCTCGTTATCTTGAAAAGGGAGACTCTATTCGTAGTCAATATTACATTAGAAATTGTTTGAAACCTCTTATTTGAGAGATAGTTTAGCAAAGGCCTAAAACAGGCACTTAAAATTTTAAATTTCTTTATGATATCGCTTAACCCCATGTTACTCAAACTGTCAGAAATTGTCTTAAACTATATGGAATCACAGTTTGCCACTCGCCATACTTACCAGTCTTAGCTCCATCTAGTTAGTTAAAAAATCTTGATGACCATACTGATGTTGAAAATCAAAAAAACAGCATAACGAAGCTATTTCAAAGTATACCCAAAAAAGAATTTAAAAAAATGTTTTACAAATGTCTTGAAAGGATGCAAATTTGTATAGATAATGATGGAAATTGTTTTGAACATTTAATAAAATAAAATTAAAAAAAACTTTTTTGTGTTTTTTATAGGGGAGTTCTAAGAACTTTTCTAGAACCTAAGCAGTAATCATATATATAAAAAAGTTAAAAACTTAAACACAATAGTAAACAAACACAAAATGTAAAAAATATAAAAATTAAATATTTTTAATATTATTTTTTTAAAATTTGCATACTGTTGTTATGATAAATATTTACCATATTAAAGTTTTTTTTTTGTTATTGTTAAAATTAACATTTTACTTTATATCTTATTCCTATTTGTATTATTTATAAATCTTTATTTTACATCTTCTGTATAAAATTCTTTTATGTTTATTAAAAATTTTTTACATTTTTTAAAAAGTGTATCTGTACTAATGGGATCTATATATGAAAAAACATTTATTACGCCGAGCAATCAAGTCTTAATTACAGCTAATGGAGAACCTCTTAATCCTGAAAAATGTGTTGCAAGTTATGTCAGTGTAGGAACAGTAAGAGCTTTTTTTTTTGTGTAAGTAACACACTGCAATTAATATTCTTTTATTTATTTTATAGGTTTTATGTTTATAAAATTTACTATCACTTGTTGTAAATTTATTTGTTTATAGTTTAAAGTGTGGTACTAAGTATAATATTAATACTGTTGTAGAGCAAAATAGGTACTTGTAAACCAGAAGTTTTGAGTTGTAAAAGAGTTTTGATCTTTACCGCACTGTGTGTAGTATGCACTCACCTTGTTTCTCTTTGTAGGTGCCTTTATATGAACATTGTAATAACAGATTCAAAAAAATTGATAAATAAGTAGTAGGGGTGAAATCTCTTGGCTGTGTGGCGGAACTGAGTGACTCGTTTTCTTAAAGGGCGATTTAAATTTTGAAAAATATGCTTATCTTTTTTACTAATTTATCATGGTTAGTGCTTTGTTAAATTGAGTTAATGTCTATGAGAGGTGAATAGTAAAGATTATTCAAACAGAGAGTAAAGAACTCAGTAAAAGTGTCGCGATCAATATTATCAATTCATCAATATAGAAATATCATCAACACTGCAATAATTGTTATAAGTAATTGAGTTTTATTTGGGTTAAATTTGATTAACCACTCTGAGCCTTTATCTGTCACAGAAGATAAATCACATATAAAATCATTCGTTGAAACAAAAAGTGTTGAACCTTAAAATAATAAGAGGTTTGATTAAGAATTAATTAAGATTGTGCGAAGATTGTTTACCACACAAAAGTGCAAGGTTCAAACCTGATTTCACAACAAATAAGTTAATTGATATGCAAGTTATGCACTTGACAACCATGCAACTAAAAAAATCAAAGGTTAAAAGCTATCAACACTGAGATCTGAGATGAATTTATCTCATAATTCATAATTGCTCATTATGAATTTTATTGACACATCATCTGTAGTCTTTACTCAATCAAGAATTTGAGGCAGATATTTTAAATTAGAGTTAACTTTTAGTTTTTGCTTAGAAATACAAGTCTCACATAGCTGCAAGGCCAGATTAACTTTAATGGTTAAATGTGCCAGGTTGTACTGGATTGCATTTTACCAGCAGCAGAGTGGTTATTGTTCTGATTTGATTTTAAATTTGAATTTATTTAAATGGGTTATTAGATTTTTATAAGTACTTTAACATATCACTGGAACAAGTCATTAGAACAAGCTACTGGTACATATTACAGTAACAACTTGCAAAATATTTCCAAAACCATTTACAGCAGCATTTTACTGAAAAATATTTCAACAAATTGTAACTGAAACAAATTTCTGCAAAATATTACTGGAATATATTACTGAAACAAGTTACTGGAATATATTACTGCAAAAAATTAATAGGATATATCACTGGAATAAATTTCTGCTATATATTACTAGACCAAGTCCCAGGAAGATGTTGCTCAAATATATTACTGGAACAAATTATTGCAAAATTACTAAAACAAATCATTGCAACATTAATGGAATTAATTTATATTTGTTTCCGCCTATAAACACAAATAATAGTTGTGTTTTCCATATACTGTTCCATATACTGTTTCATATACTATTCCATTATGTGTTTTTTTTTCAAGAATTATTCTTTATATATAGTGTATTGTCCTTTACACACAGATACTGTCTATGAAGTATCTGTGTGTGAAGCATATGAAGGTAAATGGTAGGCAGGCATTATCTTTGTATGAAGAGCATCCAATGGAAAGGAAAATTTTCAATGATGATCTTCAATAAAAGAAAGCATGTTATGTTATTGTTCTCAGCCAACATATAATGTTTAGGTATCGATTGCTTTATGTAACATTTTTGTTTAATTTTAGGAGAGTCATCCAATATTTTTGTTCAGCAAATCCAGCATTCAGTCAGCAATTCCTCCGTCGCCTAGTATTAATTTGGGATCAGGTCTAATTTATATTTAAAATATTTAATTATATTTTTATCTAAATTTTTAAACTTTATATTTTTAACTTAACAGTGAAATAAATCTTAGTTTGTGTATTTTTACCTAGAAAAGTCCTTAAAAGAAGAAGTTGATGCTTGTGCAAAGATGCCTCCAATATATGAAACCTTAGTTACAAGGGCAAAACTTGCCTCAGTATGCAGTTTTAAAATCTTATACATAATTTATATTTTAGCTACACAATATTTTGCAATTGAAATATTGCTTTTGATTTTAAAGTTTAATATTTTTAATTCTTTTTAGTAAAATAATTTTTTTTAATAAATCAGTTATAAAAATTTTAAAAAAATTTAAATTTTCAATTCAGGATTTTCAAAAGTTTGCTTTTGAATTATATGAGAGTTGTGAGAATTTAGTAAATGATCAAAACTTTCAAAGTCTTGGATGGTCTGCAGTTATAATGAACTTGGATCACATAACCGAGTAAGGTGATTATTTGCAGACAAAACCTTTTTTTAAACAGTTTTGTTGATCACTCATTAAGTTTCTAATTTTAATTTCAGAGCATTCCATAGACACTTAATGTCATTTGAAGAATACTATAAAGGATTTTTTTCTATGAAATCTCATTATAGCAATATGCTGCTCAGGTTTCTGTTTTTCTTTTAGTGTTGCCTTTGAATTTTTGGTGTTTTAATTGTTTTTGCACTAAAAAAAAAAAAGCAAAGACAGTTATAATTATAAAAATACAAGTATAATTATAATATATATATATATATATATATATATATATATATATATATATATATATATATATATATATATATATATATATATATATATATATTTCTTCAGTCACTCTGCATATGTGATTTTTTCAATTTGTTAAAAATTTTTTTTAGTTTTAGCAAAGTATTAATTTGGCTAGAAAAACTGCCCTTGTTACCTTGTCTCACTTCTAAAAGTGAAAAGCGATCTTTACTTGAATGGATAAACACCTACGTATGTTTGTATTACAGAATTAATTTTGCATAAAAATATATAGTTTATTTTTTTTTATTAAGATAATATTATTACTAGGGATGTACCGAAGCTTCGATTCAGCCGAAGCCAGGTCAGTTTTTTGCCGATTATTTGGCTTTGGCAAAAAATTTTAAGTAATTAAATTTATAAGCTACTGTGGGACAAGTTATAAAAATACGCTAATTGCCAGTGTCTAATTAAGTTATAAATTCAGGACTACAGAGTTACAGTTGGAGTCTATACCATATACTTAGTATTATTTACTCCCAAGTGTCTTGTTATGGAGGGGATAATAATAAATAATTAAAAATATTTTGAAAATAATAATAAAATTAGGGAAGGTCCTCATACACTTTGAAAGCTTTAGATGTGACTTTAGATGAACTGAATCAGCATTTCTATGCACAATAAAAACCTTATAATTTAAAACAAATTAAAAGTTTTTAAAACCTTAATTTGTATTATGTAACGAATTCATATTAATTAATTATTGTGTGGGATTACTACAAATAGAACAAAATTTGGTTTCAACATTTGACCTATAAACCTTAGTAATCTCTCTTTAAAGAAGATTAAAGATACGTTGCTACTATTTTAAATTGTGTGTATGTTTATTTTTTTTTAATTTTTTTAAATAAAACAAAGAAAAAAAAAGTCAACAAAAACTAGATAAATTAAAAGAAAAAGAAAAACAATGACAATAATTACCCTTGCTCTTTTATTAACATTATGAATACTTCTAAATTGAATTTATTTATTAAACATGTAAACCTATATTCTGGTTTCTTCTTATGATATTATGAAGACTTTTAAATTTTATTTAAAATAAATTAAAGGTTGAATTGCTTTGAGCTCTTATATTTATCATCAAAATTTATTTAAATTAAATAAACAATTTAAATCAAATAAATATCAGCCTGCTCAGTCCCTGTTTATTTGCCCTGCCTGGGACAGCAACCCTGACTGGCGTCCTCATTTTTATACGATTTTTCTATATTATTAGTCAAGGACCTTAGTTTTGGTACCTTTTTTGTTTTACACCCCTGCAGATCTGAATGCTGATTAAATTTTAAGCATATATAGTGCCGAAGCTTCGGCTTCGGCAAAGTGGCTTCGGCCGAAGCTTCGGCTTCGGCAAAATTTTAGCTTCGGTACATCCTTAATTATTACAAAAAGTATAATCTTTTAAAATTACAAAATGTTTTTGCAAATTATATGATATAATTTTTAAAGTAAAAAATTACTTGATTATTATTAACAAGATTATTTTATATAAAATTTTTTACTATTGTATAAATGAAATAATATACTGATATTTACATATTGATAAATAAATGATAAATTTTAAGATTAAGTTATAAATTTAACTAGATAATTATCGGTACCATTAACTGTTGAATAAGTTTTTTTCCATAAAAGTTTTCCATAAGTTTTTTTAGCTAGCCTGTGGTTAACAAAAAAAACTTGTTGGAAAACTTTTTGAACATGTCTCTGTATCTTTAATGTCCTGGTGAAATACTCTTCACTGACATCATACAATCAGAAAAAATTCAAGTGGTTGTGTAAGAAATGAATTTTAAGGCTTACCAGACAACTTAGTTTAAACTTGTCTATAAAATAGGCAACAGTAGATTTAAAAGATTCAGTCATTCTACTAAATCTAATGTGAGTCGACAATAGATTTATGTGAGTCAACAATAGATTTATAATGTGAGTCAACAATAGATTTATAATGTGAATAAACAATAGATTTATAATGTGAGTCTTATATATTTCCTAAAAATTTTGTCATGACTTGATTAAATAATATCTTTTTCCTTTTTTTAGTTATTTTTTTTCTAAGTTATAATCAAACATCATTTTATGAATGTCAGGTTCAGCAGAAGTCTCCTCTTTCCGTTTTGATTTAGATGGAAAAAAAATATATAAATAGTTATAAATAAGAGTAAAAAAAAAGAGAATTCTCATAAATACTTAAAACATCTTTAGACAAAGTTTTTTAATTTTTTTATTGTTAATCCTTATTTATGTGCAATCTTTAACACAAATAACAAACCTTGTGCAAATAACAAACCTTGTGCAAATAACAAACCTTGTGCAAATAACAAACCTTGTGCAAAGTCCAAGATTTTTATTGATCAGAGTTTTGTACCAAATTATGTCATTCATACTTTTTTAACTAACTCTATAATTATGTCATTCACACTTTTTTAACTAACTCTATAATTATGTCATTCACACTTTTTTAACTAACTCTATAATTATGTCATTCACACTTTTTTAACTAACTCTATAATTATGTCATTCACACTTTTTTAACTAACTCTATAATTATGTCATTCACACTTTTTTAACTAACTCTATAATTATGTCATTCACACTTTTTTAACTAACTCTATAATTATGTCATTCACACTTTTTTAACTAACTCTATAATTATGTCATTCACACTTTTTTAACTAACTCTATAATTATGTCATTCACACTTTTTTAACTAACTCTATAATTATGTCATTCACAATTTTTTTTAACTAACTCTATAATTATGTCATTCACACTTTTTTAACTAACTCTATAATTATGTCATTCACACTTTTTTAACTAACTCTATAATTATGTCATTCACACTTTTTTAACTAACTCTATAATTATGTCATTCACACTTTTTTAACTAACTCTATAATTATGTCATTCACACTTTTTTAACTAACTCTATAATTATGTCATTCATACTTTTTTAACTAACTCTATAATTATGTCATTCATACTTTTTTAACTAACTCTATAATTATGTCATTCACACTTTTTTAACTAACTCTATAATTATGTCATTCACACTTTTTTAACTAACTCTATAATTATGTCATTCACACTTTTTTAACTAACTCTATAATTATGTCATTCACACTTTTTTAACTAACTCTATAATTATGTCATTCATACTTTTTTAACTAACTCTATAATTATGTCATTCACACTTTTTTAACTAACTCTATAATTATGTCATTCACACTTTTTTAACTAACTCTATAATTATGTCATTCACACTTTTTTAACTAACTCTATAATTATGTCATTCATACTTTTTTAACTAACTCTATAATTATGTCATTCACACTTTTTTAACTAACTCTATAATTATGTCATTCACACTTTTTTAACTAACTCTATAATTATGTCATTCATACTTTTTTAACTAACTCTATAATTATGTCATTCACACTTTTTTAACTAACTCTATAATTATGTCATTCACACTTTTTTAACTAACTCTATAATTATGTCATTCACACTTTTTTAACTAACTCTATAATTATGTCATTTACACTTTTTTAACTAACTCTATAATTATGTCATTTACACTTTTTTAACTAACTCTATAATTATGTCATTCACACTTTTTAACTAACTCTATAATTATGTCATTCACACTTTTTTAACTAACTCTATAATTATGTCATTCACACTTTTTTAACTAACTCTATAATTATGTCATTCACACTTTTTTAACTAACTCTATAATTATGTCATTCACACTTTTTTAACTAACTCTATAATTATGTCATTCACACTTTTTTAACTCTATAATGCTCCTCTGATTATCCAGTAGAATTATTCAAAAAAAAAATGTAATTATTGTTGCCGTAACAACTAAATAAGTATTAATGACATGACAGTTAAATAATTAATGATGCAGTAACAGTTAAACAAATAAATATTGTCATAATAGCGTCAGCCCCCAAAATTAGGGTTAGTATTCAACAATGCTGATCTAAAAGTGTTTGAAGTTGTCAAAAAATTGCCAGCCTCATTTTCATGTTTTATGATAACACCTTTGTGATGGTAACACCTTTGTGTCAATTTTTTTTTGCCGACCTGATGCGATAGAACCGTAATTATAACTGAATTAAAACTGTCTTTTTGTGCAGTTTGTTTGGAAAAAAGATACATATTAAAAATCATTATGAAAAATACAACCATCTATAGCAAACATTTTTGAAAGTTTAAGAAGTGTGTATTAATTTAAGAGTAAGTTTTATTTTTCAGGATGTCATTGCAATTGTTTTTCTTGTCAGACTGTTTTGAAACTAATTAATTTGTCAAGAAAACTTAATTGCACATCATGCAAGCAAGTTGCTGCATGAGTAATAAAATTAAGATAAAGCAAGAAGGCCTTGAGAGAGGCCAGCCCTCTTGAATATCTTCAGTTATATAAGTTTTTAATATTATTGTATATGTTCATATATTGTATATGTTCATATATTATATATATTTTTATATATTATATATGTTCATATAGATTTTAAAAGTACATTATAATTCAGCAATTATTTTGATTTCTCACATCTTTTTTTAAACATTAGCATTCATAGTTTAAAATTAGAATAAGAAAAAAATATATATTTAAATATACTTTATTTTCCAAAGAGGGGTGGAATTAACTTCTGTACTGGAATGAAAAAAAAATCAACAAAAAATCAATATAAAGTATGTGTAAAAGTCTGGGATCATCTACTGTTGTTGAGAACAATGTAGTTAGCATGATGACATCACCACAACAAAAGATTGATTCTAAATATAAAATAGAACAAAATAATTTTTTTTGAAAATGATGAAACTGTAATAAGGGATATAGTATTTATTCATGACACTTATGAATTTATTTTTAGTATCATATTTGAAAGAGGCTTGGATCCTCACTCCAGTATGGTATGTGCATTAATTGACAGAGTATTCTGAAAATGTCTTTGATAACACTAATAAAAATGAGATATGCATTGACAGTGGAGTTGAATAGTGTTTTATTCTTTCTATTACTGAAGATGTTTCTGATGACATTGGAAGTCTGCAGGAGGTTTTGAGTAGAATAAATTTAGATGTTACGTATCACCCTGCATTTGATTTAAAATGTGCTAACAGCATTTTTTGTTTCATCTTTGGGTCTCATTCTGGTTAATATGCCTTAGAGTGGTGTGAATGCAAATGTTCCCTTGAAAGTGCTACTCCAAGAATGTTAGGTTCTCTTGATAGTTGTTACAAGTTGTTTGTTGAAAATGGGGAAAAGCAATTGGAAATAAAAGATTTTAAAAATGTGGTTCAGTCCTCGGATTTGGATTAACATTTAGCCAACATAACTGCTGAGGTTGGTAAAGAATCACCAACCACAGGTTGGTAACTTTAGGTTACCAACCTGAGGTTGGTAACCTGACGCCAAACTCAGGTTACCAACCCGAGGTTCGTAAAGAATCGCAAACTTTTTTATGTTTTTTGGAAAACCCCTTTGAGTCAAATTTTTTTGCAGACTAAATGCCAACCTTTAACAGTTTAAAAACAGAAATTTATTACTGACCTAATTTTTCTTAATTTTGAGGGCTGATTGTTAATCCTAGATTTTTTTTATTTTCATAAAAATCATGAAAATAAAATTATTCACAAAGTTCTGCCACCAGAATTTCATCATCTTGTTGGAATTGTGACACTACTTGAAACTACTTCACTAAGTGACACTACTTGGTAGACAACTTTTAGATTATTGGACTATGTTAATAAATTGGCTCAAACAACAATATATCTTATAATTAGGCTGCAATATTCTTTCAGTTATTGAAAAGTTCAAAGTATCAATTTCTGGTCTACAGCATTAAGCAAAAATACATTTAAATGCAGAGCTGAATATTACATGGAAAATGTATATAGTTGTTTACCATATTCTCTTATTTGTGAAATTTACTTGTTGTTCTCTAGGATCTTATGCTGAACAGACTAATGAGGCTGTTTATAGTGCCTTTAAACCAAGTTGGTCAGTTTACTAATAGTAACTAAGGTTACTAATAAAGCTTGAATCATATGGGATTAATAGGAATGCCTTTGATTGGAATTTTGCTTTTCTTTCCAGCAGAACACAATGTGTCAGCCTTGGAAATTTCGCGTCCGATTGGGAACAGGTTACTAGTGGGTATCTCAGATGCCTCAGTTCTTGGTCCAACCCTATTATTTATATATTAACGATTTACACCGCAATTGTAATATTTAATATAGTATATGTATATTGTGTCTATTACTAATATTACTTTTAGGAGAATAACAAAGGATATTGATTTAAAAGTAACAAATAAGTAATATATTTAAGTAAAAAAATTTTATTATATGAAAAAAATTAGAGGTGTAAAGAAGTTAAACTTGTTGATTTTTATGGCAAACTGATGATAGATTCATATTATCATATATTGTATCATTGTCATGTAGTTAATTCTTATGTTTTTATATTTAATTAACAGGACCAGCAATCTTCACTTGAAAATCTTTTACGACAATGCCAAGAGTCAATTAAACAAGTAAAATTATTATTGCTAGCTATTGTTTTTATTTATAATTTTGAAGCATTTTTTTTGATTAAGTTTTGATTTTTTATAACATAAAAGAATATATAAAAAAACGAAGAATGATAAATGAAACAATTGCTGCCCCATCCCAAACCCTCAGTCGATGTAGCAGCACTCCACTGCGAGTCAGGCTATTTGCCAGTCGATGTATGTACTGAAGCCCCCAGCAACAGCCTATTTCAGTATGACGTCAGATTGCTTACCTTTGTACGCAATACTATTTGTATTGCGTCAGATTGCTTACCTTTGTACGCAATACTTTATTTTTTATTTTAATCTACATGATTTTTTCAGAAAAAAAAACACAAAAAAACAAAACAAAAAAGAATAATTAAAAAAAACTGCTTAAAAAATGTTGCATAGTAAACAATGGTAAAAGTGTGACTTTGAATGGTTGCTCATGGTTAAGTGACTTTGAATGGCCGCTTAAATGTTAAAATAATTAAATTAAACTTAAAAAATTTTTTGTTTACAAGTATACTATACCAGATGTCATAATTAAAAAGGAAGTTACATCAATTATAGAAATGTACATTTGATTTACAGATCAATTTCTTCACCATCAATTTCATCTGTTGAATTTAGTTTTTCATGATTTATCTTATGGTAATCTAATTACAAATAGGTATTGAATGAAAATCAGCATGTAATAAAAAGATTATATTGATTATTATATTGTTGATATTATTAGATAGTTATATCATGTAAAGTTTTTGCTTTATATTTAGTTCTAAAGCAAAACAGTTTTCATATTTCTTATCAAGCCGCTTTGTTTGTGTAATAAAAGTTATAAAATATTTTTATTTTCATATTTTTATGTACATATATATTTTATACAGGTATTTTCAATATATTTTGTATATTATTCCAAAATAAGTATTAACATCTATTCATCTAAATTTTATTGTATTCAAATAAAAAAAAAAAAAAAGTTTTAAAAAATTTTTTTTATATGTTTATTTCTTTTAAAATCATAAATTTTTTGAATAATTTAGCTAAATTTTGAAGTTTATGAAAAAGTTGTAGATGACGCTCAGCAAATACTTGGTAATTTTTTGTTTGTTTGTTTGTAATGATTTTTATTATATATATTATACATCTTCATCATCACCATCATCATCACCATTATTGTCACCACCATTATTAATGATTCCATCATCACAGATACAATGCTATTGTATCTGTGATATTGTGCTGAATGGTATATTTCTAGTACTAGTGATACTTATTGACACCTAAGCCTTAAGCCTTTGCTTTTATCGATACTCATTCAGATTTACCTTTTTTTAGAGAGGACACTTACCTTCATTTCTTGATCTTCAACTCATGACTCATTTCTCTGTTGAAAATTCCTTTGCAGCTGGTATTTCAAACAATATTCAAAACTGATCTTTTTTGTACTTGGAATCTTTTATTATTATGAGTAAATAATGCAAATATGTCTAACATTAATGTCCAATACTCTCACATTACTAAATTTTGCACTTCTATCACAGAAATAACCTCATGGGTCATTAAATAAAATCTAATATTTTATCTTTTTTATATGAGGCTTGTTATATTTCCTTTCTAAAGTATAAGGCAAAATTATTTGTAAAAATACTATTTTCTTAATTTATTTCTTGAGTTTAATGATCACACTTTTCTATTTTAGTTTTTTCACATTTTAGTAAAAATATATTAATGATTTTTAGACATTTTAATAACTTACGGTTGTTTTACTTGAACTATTTTTTACATTTGCAGCTAGTTGTTACTACTGCAAAGTTTAACTCTTCCAATTATTTCCAATCAATCCTCTCTTTATCTCTTATGGCTTATTTTATCTCTTATCTTTATCTTAATCTCTTTAATCCTCTTACATTTATTAACTTCAAGTCTTTTAGCTTATATTAGGTCTATCGGAAAGTTCTGTCCGTTTTTAGAATCAAACAAAATACAAACTTTTCTTTCTGCCAATTAACTTTATTGAATAATATAATTGCCATTATATCTAATGACCTCTTGCCAGCGTGAGGGCAATTTGTACATCCCATTTCTGAAAAATGTTTCATCTTTTGATGCGAAAAATTGAACCAGTACTTGTTTGACATCTTCTTCATTTTTGAATTTTTTGCCCGTCAAAAAATTTTGTAAGGACAAAAACAAGTAATAATCAGAGGGTGCTATGTCTGGAGAATATGGTGGGTGCGACAGAATTTCCCAGCCTAATTCTGCAATTTTTTGACGAGTCCCTGAAGCAGCGTGTGGTCTGGCGTTATCGTGGTGCAGTATGATGTTCTTCCTATTGAACATTGCCAGCCTATTTTTTTGGACTGCTGTCTTTAAATTATCCAGCTGCTGGCAATACTTCTCCAAATTAAGCTTTTCATATGGTTTTAAAAGCTTATAATGTATTGGTCCTCGAAAGTCCCACCATATACACAACATTCTCTTATTCAGAGTCAAATTTGGTTTAGAGGTGGAAGGGCTAGGTTTTCCGGGTTCACAATATGCCCTTTTCCTTACAATGTTGTTTTATGTAATCCACTTTTCATCCCCAGTTATCACCTCGTTCAAAAAGGGCTCAATTTTATTCCGAGCAAGCAGAGATGTGCATATGACAACTCGATTGTCCAAATTTTTCTGACTTGATTCATGTGGCACCCATCTTGAATACTTCCACACTAATCCCATCTTCCGAATATGGTCAGAAATGGTTTGCTGAGCTGAATTAAGCCTTTCTGCGATCTCCGATGTTGTCAAAAAAGGATCTTGCTCCAACATTGCCTTAACAACAATGTTATCAATCAAAGATGGTCGCCCAGAACGTGGCTTATCAGAAAAGTTGAAATCACCTGTTTCAAATTTTTCGTACCATTTTCTGCATGTCCTATCAGAATAAATTTTTACATGCTTCTGTAGCATTTCTTCCTTGTTGAAATTTGTATAAAATACAGTGGCGTAAATGAACTTTACCAGTCACCATGGATATACTATCGTTTCACAATTAAGACTAATGTGAATCAACTTCATTATAGTTTAGAGTCGAACATGCAATAAATGAATGTGCTTACGTGGTGAAAATGATGTCATAGCTTTGAACAGAACTTTCCGGTAGACCTAATAATTAACAAACTTTAGTAAAACTATATTAACAGATCATCATTTCTAAAAATCATTGATTTATATTAGTTGTAATAACCTTTTGCTGCTGATTTGTTTTTAACATATCATTAAGATTTTTTTTAATATTGTAATTTTTCTTATGTAATATATATATTTCTTCTATAATAATATTACATTTTGCATCTAAGCTATTATTGCATTATCAGAAAAAGGTTTTTGTTATCGATTTAGAATCAGCCCAAAATCCAAACATGAAAGAAATAAGAGGGTTGGCTGATCGCTTAGTTAATTTGCAGCAACGTTTACATCTTGCAAATCAACTCAAGCAAGATCAAAGTGATATGGCTCAGGTGCTTAAATTTTACTATTGAATATTTTAGTTTGAAAAAATTTGTAAAAATATCGATGGTGTGATTGCAATCACTAGTAAACATAAGCCATTAAATCTTATGCTATATTTTATTAGAAAACTTTGTAATAGAAAATAAGTGAATTATTTTCAAACAGAAATAACTCACTTATTTTTACTTATATGAAACACCTAAAATTGATAACTTTTTTGGAAGCAAAACATACATGTTCATGTACAAACATATGAGTTATATCTTTTTTTGCTTAGATAAGACTAATGAATATCTTTGACTGATTAAAAGTTTCTTTTCAGGGTTTTCAGCAAAATAAAATGCGAGCAGAGCATCTGGGAGATTCTTCTGTATTACCAGATTTGTGCTCTAGTCATCAAAAACAATTACATGTCTTAATAAAAAACCACTGTCATTTAAGGTATATTTTTTTATTCTTTTTTTGCTATTACAAACAAAATATAATCAAGAGTTGCACAAAGTTTTTAATGCTGAGTTCCAGTATCTTTAAATGAGTTTTGATATGTTTTTACATTTTTTTATTTTTTGGCAGATCTTTGGCATTTTAAAGTACACAAAAATTTACATATATTGCAATGTTAAGTTTAATAGAATCAGCATTATTAAATAGATTGTCAGGTAAAATGTTAGCTGAAATTTTACAAATCCTGTAATTAAATTACTTAAAAATGTGTCATTTGTTTTGACTAAATTTTCATATTACATGCCACACGAATCTTTTATCTTAAAAATCACATTTTAAATAAATCTATTTTTAAAAAAAAATCTTGTTTTGGTTTCATCAGTTTTTTTTTGTTTTTTTTTTATGCAAAATAAATATATATATATATATACTCTTGCATGGTAGTCAGAAAGAGTTTCCCATAAACTGTAGTTTTAAAGAGGGCGCTAATAAACCAGACCAGAAAAAGTTTAAAAAATTAATTTTTTTTTTTTTCAATGATAGACTGCCTGCCCAAACCAAACCCTCAGTCGTTGTAGCAGCACTCCCTTGCGAGTCAGGTTATTTGTCAGTCGATGTAGCAGCACTCCCTTGCGAGTCAGGCTATTTGTAAGTCGATGTAGCAGCACTCCATTGCGAGTCAGGCTATAAGATAGTCGATGTAGAAACACTTCCTTGTAGCAGCAGGCTATATGATAGTCGATGTAGCAACATTTACGCATGTTTTAAAAATGTTTTTTAATAAAACAAAAACACCACTAATTAAAAAAAACTTTCTAGTCATTATTATTGCGGTTTTTTAAAAATTTTTTAAAAAACAATAAAATTTAATGTACTTCCGCATTAATTTAATTGCTTTGACATTTCGACAACAATCAAATACAGCTTAAGAGACGAGGTAATTAAAATTGTAGTCGAAAGAGACTTTTTTTACATTAAAAGACTCTTTCGACTACACTATAAGGATATATATATATATATATATATATATATATATATATATATATATATATATATATATATATATATATATATATATATATATATATATATATATATATATATATATATATATATATATATGTATATACATATGTATATAAATAGAGAGAGAAAATTTATATAAGTGCCAGTTCGAATAACCATAAATTTACTGTGTATATATATATATATATATATATATATATATATATATATATATATATATATATATATATATATATATATATATATATATATATATATATATATATATATATATATATATATATATATATATATATATATATATAGGGAAATACGTAATCTATGTGCACGTGCCAAAGATGAGCTCTCAGTTAATTTACACACTAGATTGAAGTAAGTACAAGAACTGTAAACCAATTTAATTTTTTTTTTTTTTTTTGCCAGCAATTCAATTATAATTTGTATATCATAGATGGGTGATGACAATTGAAAAGCAAATCTGTAGTTTAAACAGCAAAATTGTCATATATCATGATTTTTTGAGAAAGATTAAAAAAAGGTATTTATTTTTAATTTAATAATAGTTTTAGGAATGATTAGTTAGAGAGAAAGTATAAATTAAGTATAATAGTTGTAATAATAGTATTAAAAATAATTATAACAATAATAATCAAAATTATAATGATACTAACAGCAACAAGGATAATAGCAGCAATAATAATAGTAAAAGATAATAACAATTACAATAATAGTAATAACTATAAAGATAAACTAAAATAATAAATTTACAATATTATATGTTTATTAATATTAATATATGTTAATAGTAACAACATTGGTAATAAATCAATTTTGTAAATAGAGATTCATGTAATAAATCCAAAATTGCTTGCTTCATTAGAAATTCAAAGTTTGATCCCCACCAAATTGCGGATAGTACTGGGCTCAAAACTAAATTTATGAACTTTATTTTCTCTCTTAACATCTAATTGATTTCATGTAAAATTTTTACCTTTGAATTATTTTTTTATTTTCCTAGAAGTTGACAGGCAATGTATAAAAAAAGTTCAAAAATCTTGAACTTTAAGTCAAACATTAAGCTTTGCTAATATGAGTCACCCCTTTCATCACATTTGGTGGCCATTATTGTCAACACGTTAAGTTTCTTTAACTGTATAAACATAATAAAATATTAAACAGTGGGGTGCAAAAAAAAAACCACACTCAATTTTTTTATAAAAACAACAACAACATATGTCTAAAACTCATATAGTAAAAGTAATATAGGATAATTTTGATAAAAATGTTTATAATATAATTGTATATTATAATAATAAAAAGAAATTAGGATTTGTAAAGTATTTTTTAGGTTAAAGCTGTTTTAGTATTTAATTGGCCATCCTTTGTTTCTTATGACTTCCGCGCATCTAGAAGGCATACTATCTACAAGTCTTTTTAATAAGTCATTTGGCAAAATATTTCAACCAGCAAGAAAAATTTGGAACATATCATCTTCATTTGTTGCCCTACGATTTTATCCAAAATAGATAAAAGCATAAAGTCTTTTTAATAAGTCATTTGGCAGTCATCAAGAAGAAATTGGAACAGATCATCTTCATTTGTTGCCCTACGATTTTATCCAAAATAGATAAATTAGATAAATAAAAATAGATAAAAGGTTTTCTATTGGATTTAAATCTGGAGACTGTGCTGGCCAAGACATAACTGGTATCAATTTAGATTCTAGATATCTTTTATTCAACCGTGCTGTATGTTTGGGATCATCCTGTAGATGTAGTCACCATTAGGAAAAAGTTCTTTTATACTTGGTCCAAGCTGATTAACTAGGATTTTGTGATCAAATGCTGGTCCATGATACCTTTCACCCAGTAAAGTTTTCCAACTTTGTGTGCACTAAAACAACCCCAGACATTAATCTTTTTGTCATGTTTAATATTTGCCTTGCACTTTTGAGGATTGAATTTTTCCCATTAATTTCCAACAGTGAGATTGACCATTATAATACAAAACAAACGGAGACTCATTGCTCCAGATAACTTTAGCCCATTGTTCACATGTCCAATTTTTGTGATCAATGCACCACTTTATACGCTCTTTTCGATTGATTTCACTAACAAAAAGTTTTATAATTTGCTTTCCTGAAAAAAAATCACTTGATGCTTTAATCCTGTAAGATATTGTTCACTTTGAGATATAAGTAAGGTTCAAATCTAGTTTTATCTCAGAATGAGTGATTTTACGATTTTTTTGACAGCCTTAAGAATATAGCAATCTTTCTTTTTTGAAGTTTTCGGCTTTCTCCTAGATCCAACAGCCCTTTCAGTTTTACCAGTGTGTTTATATTTCTTTACCAATCTACTAATAGTTGAGTTTTCTTGTTTCAAACGCTTTCCAATGCTTCTGTGAGACTCTCCTTGGTCAGCAGCTTCAATAGTTCGTCCAATTTTGCATCTGTCAGATGTTTTTTTAAAATATTAAATGTGTCCATAATAATCTGTTTTTTAAAGATTTATATAAATATTAGTTTATATATAAACATACCTTTTCTCGCCTAAATTTTTTAGTGCCACATCCAATTTTTTTTTTTTTTCTTGATTATACATTTTATACTTAAAATGAAGAAAAAAAATTAGTGTAGCTTTTTTTTTGCACCCCACTGTAAATTATATAAAACTAGTATATGTATATGAAAATGTGCATATGTAATATACACAAGATTATCTTTATTTTACGTAATTAAATTTTTACTTTTTATGGTAACAAACTAAATTTTTAATATAAATATCAATACATAAATAGAGAATAAGTATACAGTGATCAAATATGATATGCTATGTTAAAGATATGCATAAATAAAATAACGTAAACACGTATTATGACAAATTATCACATTATAACAACAATAATACCAGCAAGGGTAATAGCAACAATAATAAAAAAAGTCATAGATAATAAAAAACAAACAAACAATAACAATAATTAGTACAATATTAGTTATAACAATACAAGTGGTGATTACAATAGATCTTACAATAGATCTCAGTATTGATAATATATAAAAGATGATAAAAAATAATATGACAATATTGTTATAATTATTATTGTTATTACTATTGTTATTATTGTTAGAATCATTATTAGTTGTATTATGGTTATGTTTTTTATTAATATTAGAACATTAAATTGAGTTCACAGAATAAATAAATTAACCCACCTAATTCTAAAATGATTATTGTTATTACTATTGTTATTATTGTTAGAATCATTATTAGTTGTATTATGATTATGTTTGTTATTACTATCAGAACATTAAATTGAGTTCACAGAATGAATAAATTAACCCACCTAATTCTAAATGATCATTTTTTCACAAATAAACATACACTTTTTTTGTTATAGCTATCTTATAGTGGGTCACACTACCTAAAAATAATTTTAAAAATTAAGTACGACTTATTATAATAAATTTAAATAACTTATTATATAAATAGCCTAATATATAAATATAATATATTTTAAAATTTTATGAGATATTATAATTTTAATTTTTTTGTTAATTATAAATATATATTACCTATATTATACTTAAAATACTTATATAATTAAAACTTAAAATTTTAAATAAACCTTTAGAATGGACATTTTTGAACAAGTTTACGATGCACCAAAGTTGTATGTGCTTTCAGTAATTGAAGTAGTTAGAAGAAGACATTTTTCAAAACAGTTTTGTGAGGTACTTCTTTTCAAAATGAAATTGCTTGCGCTAATTTTTAATCATTTTTATAAATCATGTTTAGTTGTTGGTTTTTTTTATGCGTTAATATTGTAAATGCAGTAGTATGGTAGTGGTGGTGGCAAGAATTCATCCAATTAGGTGGGAAAATAAGTGTAAATTATAAGTGTAAATTAAATAAATACACAAAAAATGTGTTTTTGATACTATTATTTTTAATAAGAAAAATATAAAGAAAATTAAATACAAAATAATTTAGAAAAAGATAAAGAAACTAAATACAAAATAGTTTAAGCAGACTCTCAAAACAAAACAAATATAAACTTCATTAACATTAAATTTTATAAATATTAATTTTTAAAATCATTTTTTAAAAAACATAAGTAGTCAATATCACTTAACAATGACAGAATTTTTCGTAATAAAAAAACCTGGCATCGAAAAAGCTCTTTCTGACTTAATTGATGCCAGTGGGATATTTAATAGAGCATTATATAATTTGTCTAAATTATTTGTATGCTTTTTCCTTGCATCAAAAATAACCATTTCTTTTTTAATGTTTTTAACATCATACAAGGCTCAATTTAACGGTCTAACATTGCCGCCCCGGACTGTTTTTGAGATCTGATTTATGGGTGCATTGTTCATTTTTAATGAAAAAATCGTTGCCCTCCTCTAGCAGGTCTCAAGAATGGTCCAAGGGGCGGCGATGTCCAACCGTTAAATTGAGCCCTGATCATATAATACATCTTCTAGATGCTGTCATTATGAATGTTAGCCAATTGGACTAACATTTGTAATAACAGCTTCAGATGTAGTCGATAAATTCAGTTGATAAACTGTGTTTCAGTTCCATCATTACTGCATTCTGATTCTTCAAAATCAGCAGAAGTATCACCACCATCAATATCTTCAACAAATAGCTTTAAAAATAATTTTTGAACATTACATAAATTGTTGTTATGGATTGACTGGAAATCCACTAAAGTTGTAAAATCAATTTCTTAAGTCTCCTCATCTTTACTAGTATTTTATTAGAATTCTAGCTGTCAGATGCAATACACTTACTGCCCAGTGAACTTGAAACAGTTGATTTTTTGAGTAGAACATTATAAACTGCCTAATATAGCCCATGTGCATAACAAAGTTGGCGCTCCATCCAGCTTGGCACTCCATCCGGCTTAATCTTCTGAATCAAAATTTGTTACAAGAGGAAAAAGGAAGTAATTTTGAATTTTCTAATTTTGAATGATAATATATTTAATATCACAAAAAATAGTTAAAAAATTTCCAGAATTTTTGGAAAATTTCATTGAAATCCCAGGATAATGGGATGATTTTTTACCACCTGTATCCCTTAAAAACAGGATCTCAATCAAAAAGCCCTACCCTTCACTTTATGACAAAAAACCATATAATCCTAGATCTTCACCTAGGAAGTTTAACCAGAACACTATCCTCTTAACCTTAATTGACTCCAATGAAAATGTCCAATGTCATATTTTTCATCTTATTATGATTTCATAATTGTAGCAATGATAGTTTGATTGTAGAAATGTAATAAGTTTGTTTTTACTAAATTATTTTAATAAAGTAAGAAAAACTTTCAACTTTAAAAAAAGTGTTTTGTATATATTTAAATATCTTACTTAATTGGCTAAAATTATAATTAAATGAGACAGGAGTCTCATTTAATTATAATTTTAGTTAGAACATGCACACCCATACTTATTGGGTGTGCATGTTCTGAAGAAAAATATAAAAAATTTTTTGTTATGTTCTTTGGTTGACAGTGTGTTTTCTCTACCTGTTTTGTCAAATTCAAATAGAAAATAGCTCCACAAAAACTTTGCTTCTGTGACCCAGAAAGCAATCTTTTGAAATTTGCGTGTTTTTTTATTATTGAGCTTACTTCTAGAATGTTTCGGAGCTGCTAGTAGCTGATAGTGTTGTCTTGAAGGTACAAAGTTTTCATGAATATTCTAAAATTGTCAAGAAACTTTCAGAACTTTTTAGAATATTCTTAAACAGTCTAAAGTAATCACGCAAGTATAAAAGTATAGGTGATATGAACCAACATTTTAGTTTTTGTTATTGGTGAATAAATTTTTTTTTCCTTGTCATTCTTTTGTCCTTTGCCCTAATAGCATTCCAGCCTTGTGCTTCCTGTTCCCATTTTTTCTTATGATAGATCTGCCATCTTCAGGAGAAAGAAGCAAATCCAACAGGGAGGATAGTGTTAGTGATGCACCTGAAAAAAAAAATACTAAGTGTATAACAAGTGGCTACGAAAGTCTTTTGTCTCCAATTTAACAAAACTTTCATACACACCTAATCTTAACCAATTAAATGTTGAATGCTTTTTTGATTCCATCATGAATGCCCTGTGCATCTGTGTCAATGAATGTCATATGCATATGTAATAAATTACAGGCTATTCCCATTATACAAATTATATATATATATATATATATATGTATATATATATATGTATATATATATATATATATATATATATATATATATATATATATATATATATATATATATATATATATATATATATATATATATATATACACACACTTACTAAAGCGTGTTTTGATAAGCGTTTGCTCACTTTTTCTGCTTACCTTAAGCTATACCGTTTTTTTCAAAAAAGAAGAAGAAAAAATAAAGAATGATGAATAAAATGATTGCTTCCCCATCCCAAACCCTCAGTCGATGTAGCAGCACTCCACTGCAAGTCAGGCTATTTGTCAGTTGATGTATGTACTGAAGCCCCCAGCAGCAGGCTATTTCAGTATGGCGTCATATTGCTTACCTTAGTACGCAATACTATTTGTATATATATATATATATATATATATATATATATATATATATATATATTTAGTTTTATTAATTAGATAGAAATAAATTGCAATTAAAAAAAAAATTAAATGAAGATATTGCCTATATTTTGGACTTTATCTTCTACCAATTTTATCTTTGCTAAATTTACAACAATTGTGTTACCTGGTAATGAACAATATAGACTAATAAAGCCTGGGCTTGTTCATAAAGTCAGGTTTATAGCAAACAGAATATACTTATTAAAAATCACAACATTCTTAGCTTAATAGATTGCATTCTTCACAGCAATATTTTACACTAAGTGGTTTCTTTTTTTTTCATTCTTCACAGCTATATTTTATACTAAGTGGTTTTGTATTAGTTTTGAAAAAGTTTTAAGATATTTAATAGTCTAAAAAATATTAGGAGATGAAATCTTCTAATATTTTTTAGACTATTAAATAGATATAATATTTTTTAGACTATTAAATAGACTTATGCCATAGATATGTAGCAAGTTAATTTGAATATGGATAATTCCTCATGTTTAATAATAATAATACTATTCTAAGCTTGATTCCATTTATAACTGAATTAATTAATTTTTTATATATAAAAAGCCATGCCAACTCATGTTACTCAACTAAGTACAGTGACTCAAATCTCCAGCTATGATAGATCTGAAAAGCTATTACCCAGAATTTTAACTGCATTAAGTAGAATCTATAAAAAGACATGTTATTTAAAATGGAAAAATGTTTTTTTTTAGGGTTATATATATATATATATATATATATATATATATATATATATATATATATATATATATATATATATATATATATATATATATATATATATATATATATATATATATATATATATATATATATATATATATATATATATATATATATATATATATATATATATATATATATATATATATATATATATATAACCCTAACCCTGATATAACTCTTATAACCCTGTAAAAAGTCTTAATGAAAGAATCTTGTGCAATAAAAAAGTTAATGACTGCATTGACCTGCATATATGATATATATGATGCAATAGAAGAATTAAAATTTTCTTTCTTATTTTATACCTATATATATAATATATAATTATATATATATAATAAATAATTTCTATAAAGTTTATATACATGTAATGAAATACCTGAATAAATATCTTAAAAGTAGATATTTTCTTTCTAGGCTTTTTATTTTTAATTTTCTCTCCCTCTGTTTAGAAATAGAAAATTAGAAAAAAAGTTTTTTTTTAATTTTTTTTTATTGGTTTAGTGGGCAAAGTCAGTAGCTGAGAGTTCTAAAGTAACACGAAATGAAGAAATACAAAGGCGACAAGTTTTTCAACAGGTTTTTCGTATGTACATTTTTATATTGTATATATTAAACTGTAAAAATATACTTATTAAAAACTAATATAAAATATATATATATATATATATATATATATATATATATATATATACATATATATATATATATATATATATATATATATATATATATATATATATATATATATATATATATATATATATATATATATCAAGCCTTCCCAGGAAAGGCGTGTGGTTTTTCATCTAGTACAACCACGAAAACGTTTTATTAAGTTAGAGAACGTAATCACGGTTGTTTGCGCAAGTTTTATTTTATGCGTTACTGAAAAATTATTATAAATTTAATAACTACATAAGAAATTAAAGTAAACTTAAATAGAAAACAATAATATTAGTTTAAATATTTTGTGTGTTGTTTTTATTTTTGTTTTTTCTTAGTGGTTATTATTATTGGCAACAAAATTTAATAAGTCAAAACAAAAAAAACCAAAAAAAAAAACAAAAAAAAAAACGGTTTTAGGCGTTAAAAAGGATGAGTTTCCCATATTTTATGTGATTTTTCTTTTAAAGAGGAAAGAGAAAATATGTATCACCATCTGTTTGTAAAATATATTTGTATAATTATAATGTAACAAGTTTATATCAAGAGTTAAATTATACGATCGCAATTTGCAAACTCTGGTAAAATATTAGGTCTTTAAAATTTTAGTTCATGCAAAACTGTGTACTTTGTTTATAAGCAGCAAATTATTAAAAGTTTGCTAGCTAGAAAGTTACAAAAAACAAAACAAAAACAATAAACTTACGACTACAAAAGTAATAACACTTTAGTCACTAACTGCATTATAAAAGTAATCAAACTATAATAGTGTTATTACATTTATAATGCACTTATTACTGTTAAAGTTCATTCTTTGTTCAATCAATATTATTAATTCCAAACATTTATTAAAGTAAAAAAGCATCTAGAAAAAATAAAGCGGATATTCGAATATTATTAAAAAATTCAGGAACTTTCACAGATCACTTAAACAACGTTATAAAAAAGTACTTTATAAAAACTATAGCATTATGAAAAACGTTACGTAAAAATGCGCGTTAATTTTAAAATCTACCAATAAAAAATTTTTATTGGTTAATTTTAAAATTAACGCGTGTTTTTACGGTCCATTAGTAACGTTTTTTTATAATGCTAAACTTTTAATACTATACTTTTTCATAAAGTTGTTTGTCACATTTTTATATCTTCCTTTAGTTTTAATATTATTTGAACATCCACTTTATTCTTCTAGATATTTTTCTTCTTCAATTAAAATTTGGGAATACTAATGCAGGCCTTGTTTTAAAGCATTACGCCTAGAGCAATTTACGTACGCCTTAAGCAATTTTTACGTACGCGTAGAGCTGTTTTGGTTAAGCTACTTTTTATCATTTTTTAACTTTTAAATTAGCGGTAACATATAAAAAGTAATTAATTTTTAAAAAAACCACATTAACTTTTGAATAACGATATGTAAAAATATTTATTAGAAAAAAAAAATTACGTTAAAAATAATTGAAGTAACTTTTTATCGCGACATATCATACGTTTTTATAACATTTAATTTTACACTTAACTTTTTATTCAAATATTTGGTAACATGAAAAATTGTTCGTCAATCCTTAACTACAAATTTTTTGCAAATGTTTTTAATAAAAAGTAGTAACTTTTTAAAGTTTACAGTAAAAAACTTTAAAAAAATCTATATTCCAAACTTATTAATACAGAATATAAATGTTTTTTGTAATATAAATTTTTAAATAGTTTTTTACTAAATTCATATTAAAAAACATTTGCAAAAAATTTGTAATTAAGGGTTGACATTCTTTTAATATATCAAAAAACGTCTTAATAATTTTGTTATCATGATAACAAAAATATCAAGACATTTTTTCAAGATATTAAAAAAATGTGCCAATGAATGAACAATCTATTTGTATTTTTCTAAAAATTACTTCATAAATTATTACTCTTTGCTTTTCTTATTAGTTAAAGGTATATAGATACCTTTGCTTTTAAGTTATGCGGGGGGAGGGGGCCAGCACAGAAAAAAAAAATTACCTGTTACTCGCAATTTTTGAATGAAGACAATTTGTTAAATTTCTTTTGCGTGCGATTCAATAATTTTTTTTCATAGATCAAGTTATATTATAAGGTAAAGAAATCACGAGTAGACTATAACATCCGCTGATGACACTAATATTACGTTGAATATATTTATATAATGGAGGTTTCATTATGCTCGCGCACATTACAGATCCTGGTAAATAAATACTAAGGCACGTTGTAGTTTAATGACAGTCTCTATTTTTTATTAATGAATATGTATTTTTCTTTATAAAACAAGACAAACTAGTATATAAAAACCTTTTATATTTCTATTCTCTCTAAATTGTTTAAAGTTCGAATGTGGATTGTATTTTGAAGGACAAAAGATTTCCTTTAAAAACTTTTAAATCTTGGGACTTTGCCGATGCTTTGCCTATGCGATGATCACAGAAAAAGAGAAGACTTACGTTATTAAAATCAAATGTAAGTTATGTGATCATCAAAATAAAATATATTCCTAAAACAATTGTGTTGTAAGGGCAGCTGCCCTACCGTTTATAAAAAACACAAGTCATGTTAAAATATTTTAACATGTTACTATATTTAATTTAAGTTGATGTATAAATAAAAATAAAAATATAGTTTAATAAATTAAATTTGTTCTTAACTTTTTTATTTTATTAAGTTAAATTGCTTACAAATGAAGAAAAAAAAGAGTTTTTTTTTTTTTTTTTTTAAATTATACGTAGAATGAAAATACTTTTGAGTTTGTTTATATGTTAAGGAACTTAATTTTTAACAAATTTTTACGAACGTTTATTATAAACAGATACGATTCAAATTATTAAATATAAATATTATTTTAGTTAAGTATTTTTTTAAGTTTGCACGATTAAAGTTTTGCGGAGAAGTATTTGTTTTTTGTTTTAAGAATAATTAACAAAAGAGTTTGCATAATTAAGACTTTTATATTTAATTTAATTTTTTTTTAATTTCCTAAAATTTAAAAAAAAAAGATTTAATCGTTAAAAATGATATTTCTCTATAGCTCTGTTTCTTTGTGATTTGTTTAAGGTGGTACTAAAGCATTAAAATCATAAAAAAAACGATTTTGGGATTTTTATTTCAATATATGTAGAGTTCAATGCTGGTTTCAAATATGTATAACTTTGATATGTTTTTTTAATAGTATTAGAAGATATAAGGGTTTTAAAAAACTAGATATAATTTTAATCGCTTAGCAACGCCTTAGCAACGCCAAGCAAGATTTGGTTTTGCCCAAAAATTTATTTATATATCCATGTTTTTAAACAGGGGGTCGCATTGAATCTTACAAATAAGTTTTTTTTGATAAAATGTCTTAAATTCATTAGCTTAAATCACATTATTTTCATTAAATCACGACTGCAAGTTTCAAATTTTAAAGTGAAGTAGACACCTAACTACAAATACAATAATTGATTGTTTGGTGCTGTTCCTTATTCATTTTTTTTATTAAGAATTATTAAAACATTTATTAAGTATATTAGTTGATTTTTAAAAATGCCAAAGTCTTTAAAAGCAAAGAAAAAGATGAAGTTTAAAGGTAACACACAAAAAACAACAAACTTGATGATAAAACCATGCAAATCGAAAAACCTTGTTCAAGTGAAAGAAAACTTACAAAGAAAAAATGCAGTAGTTCATTTAGTAACAACGATGATTATAACATTTTAATAAACTTTTCAATTCTTCAGAATGAGCTTGTAAAATTTATTTTTTGTCCTAAATGTAAGAAAACAGTAACTTTATCAAACAATTTCAAAAAAAAAAAAAGGGATTTTCTTATCTTTTATGTTTGAATTGCACAAATTGTGACTGGAAATATGAATTTGAAAGCTCACAGAAAACAAATAAACTTACTTTAAGGAAAGCTGTAAGCTGCATTAATTATCAAATGGTTATAGCTTTTCTTGAGATTGGTCAAGGTTATCAGGGAATCCGTACATTTGCTAACATTATGAACATGCTAACACCATTATCATTTCCTGGATATCAATTATTAAATAATAAATTACATACTTTTTTTAACGATGCAGCTGCAGAAAGCATGAGCAATGCAGCTTTAGAAACAAAGAGTTTACTTGCTACCAACACTTTTGATAACAATAGCATTACAAATTGCCAGGTCTCAGTTGATGGTATATAGAAAATGCTGCAGTTTGCTTCAAAGTATGAAGGGAAAAAAACTAAGTGATGGAAAAAAAATTGAATGGGGCAGGAAGATTGACAGATAAAGTTATAAATAAACTTCAAAATTATTATGGAATGGCAATTAGGCAGAATAAACTATTATACCCAATGAAGAAATCTGTTTAGGCTGTGTTATTTCAAAATAGTAATATAAGTAATCCCATCGAACGCCATCAATTCTGCCCTCAATCCAAAAACAGTTGGTGTTTGTGGCAAACAGATAGATTTAATGATCAAAACAAATACAAACCCACATTGAATATACCATAGTCAATCAAAGTTGTTCTTCTCCCAATTTTTCATGATCTTTCAAGTGATGGGTTACTTTCCAAATGTTTACACGGACAAACCCAAAACAACAATGAAGCTTTAAATTCTATAATATGGAAAAAATGCCCTAAAAATATTTTTGTTGGAAAAAAGGTTTTGGAGATTGGAGTTTCATCTGCAATACTACAGTTTAATGAAGGTGCTACTGGTATTTGCAAAGTTTTTAAACGTTTAAAAATTCCTGTCGGACAATTTATGAATAAAGGATTTATTAAAAAAAACAATGAACAAATCAGAAATATGAGGAGAAAATTATCAAAAAAAGGAATACAACAAAGAAAAATCCTTAAAAATATAAGAAAAGGTTACTCAGACATTGAAAATGAATCAGAAAAACTACCAGCTTATTCTATTGGTGGTTGGTAGTTGACTGTGAAAGTTTATTGTTTTTAATTAAATATCGCAGAATTAAATATCTCAAGATCTAAAAGTGCAATTACAATGAAATTTTCAGGATGTATTCATGATACTCATATGCAGGAGTTGTACTAGAATTAAGTTCTAATACAAAATAGTTAATGAAATAGTGCCAGAAATTTCCTATACCTTTTTTTTTTTTTTTTTTTTTTATTTGCTTATTGGCCTTCAAGGATGACTTTAATAAACCGGTCAGAAAGAAATGATTTGATAATCTCAAAAACTTTCTCAGAAACACCATATGAAGCAAGCTTATGGAGAAGACCAGCATGCCAAACTTTGTCGAAAGCTTTAGATATGTCGAGAGCAATAGCCCTAGCCTCACCGCCTCCATCTAATGCACGATAAAATCTTTCAGTTACAGCAGTTAGCAAGTCGGCCGTAGAGCGAGAGGATCGAAAACCGTATTGATTGTCTGACAGCAGTTTATTTGACTCAAGATGAGATGTGAGGAATTTGTTGATTAAAGACTCAAAGACCTTGCTAATAACAGAAAGAAGACTGATCGGACGATAATTGGAGGGGTCAGAATTTTTTCCAGAGTTTTTGAATATTGGAACCACAGATGCCATTTTCCAACAAGCAGGAAAACAAGACTCAGTCAAACACTTGTTAAATAGTTTAGAGAGAATTGAAGAAAGTTCTGGAGAACAATTCTGCAAGACTGTGACAGGAATGTTGTCTGGACCACAAGCTGTAGACGAGTTTAATTGAGATATGACTTTAGCAACAGAAGCCGGAGTGATTTGAATGTCTAACAATGGGTCAACCTGTTTGACTGAAATGGAAGGAAGAGAATGTCCATAAGATTCAAGAGTGGAATTAAAAGAAAAGTTCTTTGCAAACAGTTCTGCCTTATCCCTGGGAGAGGTAACAAGATCAGTCCCATGAATGAGAGATGGAATGTTAGATCTACCCTTGTTAACAATGCCGTTGAAGATTTTCCAAAAGTCTTCAATTTAATTATAAATTTACATTTAAAATGTTTATAGTTATTTGAGTTAATTGTTAAATTGAACTAGTTAGCGGTTATTTATTTATTGTGGTAGTTAAAACACTTAACGTCTATAAAAAAAAATAAAGAAATTAATAAAAATAAATAAAAAAATAAAAAAATACATTTTATGATGTCAAATATCGCGTTAAGCTAATGCGTTAAGCACTTTTTTATTTAAAACAAGGCCTGCTAATGTTGCTTGAACAAAGAATGAATTTTAAAAGTTATAAGTGCGTTATAAAAGTAATAACACTATTGTAGTGTTATTACTTTTGTAATGCAGTTAGTGACTAGAGTGTTATTACTTTTGTAATTGTAAGTTTATTGTTTTATTTTTTTGCTAATAAATTTAAGTTGATTCTCCCCTTAAAAACAAGGAACACGGTTTTGTATAAACTAAAATTTTAATACTAGATATTTTTCCAGATTTTGCGTTTTGCATTCGCTTAATTCAACCCTTGTTGTTAGATTAAAATTATAGAAATAAATTTTACAAACACATTGCAGTTTGTATTTTTGCTATCCTCTGAAAAAAAATTAAGAAAAGGAAAATCTTTTTATTGTAAACTTCAAACTGTTTTTTTTTTTTGCTTTGCCTTATCTAACTTTTGTTGCTGAATGTAACTCTAAAGAAACAAAAATAAAAACAGTACACAAATTATTTAAACTATTAATTTGTTTTTATTTTTTTCTATTTCATTCTCTTTTTATTTTGTTAGTTTTTTTTCTTTTCTGTTTTTGAAACATTTTTAACATTATTATAAAACTTGCAAATATCCGTGTTCACGTTTTCTAAAATAGTGTAATTGCGTGTGGTCATACGAGAAAAAAACGCACACCTTTCCTGGGAAGGCTTGATATATATATATATATATATATATATATATATATATATATATATATATATATATATATATATATATATATATATATATATATATATATATTACAGTAAAATTTGTAATTTTTTTTTGTTATTTATTTATTGCATTATTAATTTGATAATATTCTTAAAGGACAACATTTTGTTCAGAGTTTGATTCCTGGATTAGATAGATTACCTACTCCCTTTGCTGTAAGTGTTTAACTTATTTTAAGATGCATTTTCTTAACTCGTAAATTGCAATTAATTCCATAGGAAATGTAATTTTCTGTCAGAAATATTAATATTGATCTATTCTTAATGTTGTTAATTTTTTTTTATTTTTATTTTTAGGAAGATCCTCCTGTAAGTTGTGATTACGAGCTTCCAGAAATTCAAGTAGAAGATATTCAATTTATTCAGCAACATGTACCAGACCTTGTGTCAGAAATGAATATGTCTGATATTATGCTTACTAGCACACAGGTTCAACATTGTTTATCGCATGACAATCTTCAAAAGCTGGCCCAGGAAATACCCGATGTATATTTCAATGAAACGCAATTTGATCAAAAGTTAACCATGAGTGCATTGAAGCGTGAGATATCAGCTGTTAACGAAGAATTTCCATTTTATGAAGATCCTCCTTTTCGTGAATCAACTGTAAATACTGATGACGAAAGTTCAGATTTTGATCCAGTTTCACTATGCTCTTTAGCTGATGACAAATCAGATGATAGTGATGCTTTATTTCAATCGGCTGAAATGGATTTGTCAGATAATACAACTCCAGTTATATCTCCCGTTTTAGGAAAATCCAGTTCAGTGCCAATAGATATAAAACTATCTTCCAAATCAACTCATGATGAGTTAGACTTTATCTCAGATTCACCATTATCAAAAAATATTTTTTCTTCTAACAATGTTTCTTCATCTTCATCTCCTCTAATAAAATCATTTAAAAACTTAAAAAATAGTTCTAACAACAGTCTCTCACTGGCTAAAGCTCTAAAATGTACCCAAGTAACAAATACTCAATCAACAAGTTTGTTCCTTAATGCTCTCAAAGAGGTTTTGTTACTTAAATCCAACCTTTGTAATGCTCAAACAGATTTTCAAATTATGTATCAAGACACTAACAAGGACTTGTCCAATTTTAAAGAACAGTTTCTTGCAATTTGTGACACTGTTTTACGCGCAAAATGTGAAAATTGCTTACTTTTAAAACAAGATATTGACAAACTCATCGATGAAAACAATCAATTCAAAAAAAACTATGATAAATTAAGTTTAGAAAGTACTAATGAACTTCTAAAAGCAAAAGTTAAAGCTAGTGATTTAATTAATAAACTTGAGATTGAGGTAAAAAATTCTAATACATGCATTCAGGATTTACAAATTCAAGTGGAAAATTTAAACAAAAATCTAGATTATTTGTACAGCCAAGAACAAAAGTATTGCAACGAAAAGTTGCAAGTATGTAGTGAACTTGATAAGTGTAAATTAGAACTCTCAACTAAGTCTATAGAGTATGAGAGTCAGATAACTGTAGTAAGGAATGATATATCTAACCTTCAAAATAAACTTCAGACTCAAGAAAATAGTTTCTTGCAGGAGCAAGCAATTCTGCATTCTAAAATTCAAAGTAAAGATATAGAAATGCAAAAACTAAATGAAATAATATTTTCTCTTTCTGAGAAAATAAAAGAAAATGAAGATAGTTACAATTCATCTATAAATAATTATAAATGTCAAATTGATACAATTACAGCTGAACACAATAAATCGCTTAATGAAATTGCACAGCTCACTAATCAGCTTAAAGATTGCCAAAGTAAGCTAGTTTCAACACAAGGTTTGTTAGCAACTGCACAAAGTACCTTAACAACTACTCAGCAAACAAATGAGTCTAACCTAGAACATATTTCAGTACTCAATTTACAAATTAAAAAACTGAAACAGCTGCTAAATGAAAAACACGAAGAGATTTCACAAGCTAAAAATCATCTGGAATTTCAAAAGCAGTTAAGTTTCAACCAAGTAGTCAATAAAATTAAAAAAGATAAAGACATTCAAATTCAAGATGCTCAAGCTAGGTGTACACAGTTTGAAAAAGAAATAGTTTTGTTGAAATTAAAAATTGACAACTTGAACCAAGAAATAACTACTCACAAAGATGGTTTTAGTTTATATGAGGATGATGTTAAAAAGATGAAGCAAACCATGATGGCAGACATAAAAAACTTAAAAGAGGAAGTAAATGAGTTAAAAAATTCCAATAAATCATTAAAGCATGAAAACGAGCAACTTTCATGTGATAATAAAAAAATTTCAGCAGAAGTAATTAGAATGAGTGAAGAAAACACTCGTTTAACTGCTTCTGTAGATGAAATTGCACAAGAAAAGTTGCGTGTCCTACAAGAGTTAAAAGTCCAGTACAATGAAGCGTTAGAAAAAGAAAAAAAAAGCATTTTACTTAATTTTGAGTTAGAAAAAGAATCCATAATGGAGAAATGTGGAAGATCTGAGCATATGATAAGAGAAAGCAGCTCATTAGAGTGAGTTGATTATGTTTTGATAATTGCTGAAGGTTAGGATTTTTAAGTCTTGTATTATTTTTTAGGTTTTAAATAATTTAGGGAAGGAATTGATGAATTAGAAGTAGACAGACTTGTTGAGAAAGTCAAAATTTTAGAAGAAGAAAATAAAAAGCTAAAGAATTCAATTGGTAATTTTTTCTTTTCAATAATCCAATTTATATTTTTGTATGTAGCAACATATTATTGTAACAACTTTTTTACTTTATTCGTATTTAATGATGATGATTTTTTAAAATTTTAAAATGAATTTAAGTTTAAATGAATTATTATTAAAATTATTTATTGTTAAAATTAGTTATTATAATAGTTCGGCTGATTAGTCCCAGGACTAAGTAAAAAACAACATTTTTTTGACAAAATTCAATTTAATTATTCAACATAGGTGCCTTAAAGGGCAACTTTATTGAATAATAAAATTGAATTTAACTTTTCAATGAGAAAGCAATTTGTAGCCCGATTGATGCAATTTTGCCCTCCTTTTCATCAGCTTTTGCATTGTCTTGGTTAAACAACCATTTTTAAAATAAGGCTGTTTTTCCATTTTAAAATGAGGCTTTTTTCCAGTTTTAAATGTGGCTGTTTTCAAAAGAATAAAGTCAAGTAGTTCATTAAAACCAGGACCAATACTTATTGGACTACAGGATGCAATGGAGCGCAATCCACTATTGCTTTGTGCTAAAAAATTACAAGAAATCATTACATAGGAAAAAGTTTACATTTTGCCTTATTTAATGGCAGCGAACAATTTCAATTTAAGAAAAAAAAAAGAACAAGCTCAATAATGGCTCAGACTCTTTCTCCCTTTCAATATGCAGTCCGTGGCAATCAAGTCATTAGATTTTAAAAACAACTTTAAGCAAACAAGTTCTCTCGACTTAAAATGTGTATATACAAATGCTACAATCTTTAATAATAAAATGGATGAACTAAAACTTGTATTTTCTCTTATAAATTCAAGCATTGTTAGAATTAAGGAGACCTGGTTGAAGGACCAATCATTCATCGAAGTAGATAGATTTAATATATAAAGAAAAGATACAAACAATGAAAAAAGAGGTAGTGGTGTAGCTTTATATGTAGATAAAAAAACTGACTTTTATGAAATAAACTTTCGTGAAAGTGATTTAGAACAAGTCTGGGTTGTGGTGCGGTAGTGGTGTAGTGGTACAGCGCTCGCTTCACAAGTGAGAGGTTTTGAGTTCAATGTCCCTGGTAGTAACAATGTCCCTGGTAGTAACGCTCTCAACTTGTTTCTCTGTGCAGCAGCCTTGTTTGACAAGGTTCATGTTTCGGAGTTATAGAGTTAAGAGAGGGTTATAACCACAATTAAGTAGCCTCTTTGTCTGTAGTGGTCTTCTTGACCTTTGGGAGGTGAATTTACATTAAAAAAAGTTGTAATGAAGAAATTAAAGTATTTAGTTGGTTGTATATATTTAATGTATATTGTTTGTAGTTGGTTGTATATATCAATTGTATAAATATCAATAACTTGATAAAAGTCTTTACAATTGCAATCCATTTATCAATAAGAAAGGGTTTGTTGATTTTTTAATAATGAGATTTTAATTTTCAAAATATACAATGGTCAAAAGGTCATGTATTGAAAGTAACAAGGTCACTTATTGAAACATATTGAAACTTATTTATTGAAACTTATTGAAAGTAACAGGTCACTTATTGAAAGTAACAACAACTTCATATAGCATAGATTTTATGATGTAGTTAGTGACCTATATCTCATACAACATGTGTCTGTTACTACCTTTCAATTATCTGGAGAGAAAGTCAATACCTTGAATTTAGTTTTTACAATGAATATTGAATTTAGTTTTTACAATGAATGATGAAACATTTATAGTTTAGAAACAAGTATTCTTAGCAATTTAATAAAGAGTCAAGTAATGATAATTTCCAAATACACTATTAAAGACACATTAAGTAAAAACCAAAATACATCTTTGACTACAAATGAGGGGATTATGATTCTATATTAAAACTTTTAATGAAATTGATTGGAATAGTTGCTTTAAATAAAATTCTGTTCAAAATATGTATGATACTCTTTTATTACATTTATCTAAAGCATGTAACAACTTTATTCCTATAATAAATTTAAATTCAAGAAAAAGAAAATCTCTTTGAATAAATTGTGATGAAGAATCTTATAAATGATTTTAAGATACAAAAATTGCGCTTTAAACTGGAGTGACAAAAAATTAAAATTATTATACGAAGAATGCTGCAAACAAGTTGACTATAAAATTTCGAAAACAATATGAAATAAACCTTGTTCACAATTCAAAAAAAGGTTTTAAACTCCTTTTTAGCTATATTAATAATCGAAGAACTGTAAAATATATTGAAAAAGCTATCAAAAATAATCATGGTTGCATTCTTTAATCTGATTTTAATTACCAATGCACTAAACAACAAATTTCTTACTGTTCTTACAATAAAGGGTGATGGATAACTACCCGCTCCCCCCCCCCCCCCTCAATTTAATGGTAAAAGTGATTTTGATTTTTATAGAATCACAATTAGAAAGTGTTTAGTTAAAATTGCAAAACATAAAATGTAATATATCAATGGAACCTGATCTTGTTCATTCAAAACTTTTAAAAGACTGTTCTGTTAAGTGGAAATAACAGATTATATCATCTACTTCAAAACCAAATTCAATTTTAGGGCTAATAAAAAAACTTTTGCACATCACAATGTTAATTTAATAAAGTTATTATACGAAGTATTTATATGATCGCATATTGAGTTTGGTGCCACAGTAGTTTAGAAAAAGTTCTACAACTAAAAAACTTGTCTTTTCAAACTTTATTTAACAACCCTAGAGCAGAGAAAATCCAGAGTCATTAAATTAAGTTAAAGATAATAAGCAATGCCATAAGAATAACTTCTTAACAAATAGAATTGTACCATTGTGGAATTTTTGTGGTAAGTATCTGTCAACAGGGTTGGCATTAAAAAACCCGCCCAAAAAAACCCGTCCAATAAAACCCAAAAAAACCCGCCTAAAAAAACCCAATAAAACCCTGGAAAATCTGGGTTTTATTGTTTTTTTTTAAAGATATTTAATAAGTTTATGAACTATTATAACCAACTTTAACATTATAACTATAATATTATTTACTGAAATAACTATTAATAATTATTAACTTAATTATTATTAACTATTATTATTAACTATTATAACCAACAATAACAACTATCAGAGCAGGTTTACTATTATTTGATTCATTATTTGGAAATACATTATTACAATTTTTATTCAAATATTTTTATCGATTGAGATTTTTATTACTTTATGTTATTCACCTCCCAAGTTGAATTTAAATAAGTAGTAGTGACCAGAGAAGCCAACACAACAGTCGAAGAGGCTACCTTGTTGTGGTTACAACCCTCTCTCAACTCTTACGCCATAGTGGTGTTGTGGTAAAGCGCTCACTTCATAAGTGAGAGGTTCTGAGTTCGATCCCCACCATGTCCCTGGCAGTACCGCGCTCAACTCCTTTCTCCGTGCAGCGGCCTTGTTCGTCAAGGTTTGTGTTTCGGAGTTATAGAGTTAAGAGAGGGTTATAACCACAAATAAGTAGCCTCCTCACCTGTACTGGCCTTAAGCCTTGAGGTGGTGAATTAATTAAAAAAAAAAAAAACTCTCTAACTCCTAAAAACAAATCTTTATAAACAAGGCCACTGCGCAGAGGAACAAGTTTGTTCATTCAAATTTCAAGTTCAAAGTTTAATTGAAACTTACTACCTCCCATTGAGAATGGGAGCTAGTAACTTACAGTTACTACCTCCCATTCTCTAGCCTTCTTTTTCACATTTTCTCATTGACATTTTTAATTATATAGAATAATACTTTTAAATTTAAAATAAATCAATACATATAGATTAAGCGTGAAATTTTTTTTTTCTAGTTTTAAATTATATTTAAAAATCTTTTTCAAAATAATTTGAAAAATTCTTGTTATAAATAATTAAACAACAATATATAAAATATATTTAAATAAAGTTAAAGTAGAAAAAAACTAATTTTCAATATCATTAAACAAAAACAAAAAATTTTTTTACAGAGACAAAATAAAAATTAAACTCAAAAAAACCCAAATTTACCCAATAAAACCCAAAAAAACCCACTGGGCCGGGTTTTTTTAAAAAAACCCGGGTTTTTGCCAACCCTGTCTGTCAACGCAAAATCTTTGAAGGAATTTTAAAAAATTTATGATACAATTTATTAGTGACAAATTACACACATTTATATGTGTAGTTTAAACTTTTATTGATATTTGACAAGGCTGTCAAAGTGTGCGATTTACACTTGCTGGTGACTCTACCAGCTATAGCTATAGCTACAGCTATAGCATAAACTTAAAAGCAAAAACTTTGAGCAGCCGTGGCGCAGTGGTTAGAGTTCTGACTCAGAACAAAGAGGTCCGTGGTTTAACACCAAGGTACAACATTGGTACAAAAGGAGGTGTGAACTTCCAGTTAAATGCTCTCCTGTGGTGCTCCATGATAAAATCCTTAGGACTTCTGGGAGCACTTAAATAACCTAAAATAAAATTATAGTAATAATAATTTAAAACAATGGAGCGAAGTTATATCAGTCAAATCTAAAAATATATATATATATATATATATATATATATATATATATATATATATATATACATATATATATATATATATATATATATATATATATATATATATATATATATATATATATATATATATATATATATATATATATATATATATATATATATATATATATGTACAATTAGTATTGCGTACTAAGGTAAGCAATCTGACGTCATACTGAAATAGCCTGCTGCTGGGGGCTTTGGTACATACATCGACTGACAAATAGCCTGACTTGCAGTGGAGTGCTGCTACATCGACTGAGGGTTTGGGATGGGGAAGTAATTGTTTCATTTAATATTCTTCGTTTTTTCTTCTTCTTTTTCGAAAAAAACGGTATAGCTAAGGTAAGCAGAAAAAGTGAGCAAATGCTTATCAAAACACGCTTTAGTAAGTGTGTGTGTATATATATATATATATATATATATATATATATATATATATACATATATATATATATATACACATT